GGGGGAGACCAACTTGGTAAGTTGTTGCCTGGGTGCTTGCCTAGTTGTCACGAGGTGCCACGTGTCACAATTTCACTGGAGGGCCAAATCTGCCCTCATCAGTTTTGAAAAGCTATGGTCAGTTTAAGAGAAATGTTGAAAAGTCATGGTGAGTTTTAAACAATTTCCCTATTATATGTTACTTTTTTATCATTTGAGCTCAATTTGAAAAGAGTGAAAATACAAGTATAAAAGTGCACCTAATGCGTGAGGCTCCTACCAATGTAGGGTTTGGGGAAGGATATATAGATGTAAATACAAATACCTAAAGTGCAAAGCTTTGTATATTATATTTAGACATGGCAATTGGGTTGGGTGTGTTGGGTCAAGACACTTCAGGTTGATTTGGGGTCAGCTGAATTTTGGGTTGGGTCAAAAAATGCTAGACCCTAACCCTAAATGTTCAGGTTAGGGTTGACCCATGAGTCAATTTAGGTCATCCCTAAAAACAACTAAAATTTAAAAAAAATAAAAAATACATGAAAATGCCAAAATTAAAACAATTAACCTTAAAGTTCCAAACATAAAATAAGAAGCTTGAACATTGAACCATTCAAAGAGTAAAGATTAAAGAGTGAAAACTTTTAACAATACATAAATAGTTCCAATTAGACCTAACAATTGACGTCAACGGGTTGATCCATGACCCAACTTAACAAAGTTTTTTGGGGGGTCAGGTAGGGTTGGGTCATTCTCAAATTCAGGTAGCTAAATATGAGACCCTAACCTTGTTTTTTTGGGTTGGGTTGGGTTAGGTTCACGGGTTGGGTCAACTTTTTGCTAAGTTTAATTATATTTGTAAACCGGATCTGGTCGGCCGACTCAGGTTGGGTTGGGTTAGGTATACTTTTTTCCAAAAAAGAGAACATTAATTCATTGAAGGGATACAAGTTTTACAATTTACCTCTTGAATTTGAAGAGTGCAAAGAAGAATTCTTAAGGCTGTGTTTGGTTGCAATGCAAATAAATTTGCATTGATGCAAAACCATAAAAGTACAAATGATTTGAGTGTAAGTTCTGACTTATTTTTGTTTCAAATTTTAATTTATTATGTTTGATTGCAGCACAAATTTATATAAGGACAAATTACCACCCTCTGAAAGTATACATATTTTATACTCTGATTCTTACTCTTAAATTCTTTGCCACCTTCCAAAACTCTACATTTTGGAGTTCCTTGCCCGGGCCATCCACCCGAGCCATTTGACACATTTTGCTATGATAAATCACGCCCGAGCTTTAGATCATCATCACTAGCAGGGATCCGGGACATTTGATATTCATCGCGCAGCTGTTATCTGCTGTGGGTATAAATGTGGGAACAACTTGTGGGTAGCAGAAGCGACCCCGAATTAAAGAAACGCTCTTCACTAATCTACCTCATGCGGAAGCAAAAAAACACCAAAGCGGCTTTCTTTTGTGTTTTGGTTGTTTTTTGTTTTGCTTATTAGTGATTTCTACGCGGAAGTCTCTTCTCGAGATTGACCGTGTATCCGCCTGACACCTCCCTCACATCCCCTCTCTGCCAGTCAAAGCGACCTCGAATTCGACTTCACGATCACTATTTTCCAAAACCCAGCGTCAATTTTGATTTATAATCACAGGTGCAGTATTGTTCCACCCTGATGCTTTACCGCTAAGAAATCTATGCTTTTTCCTTTTCCTTTCATTTTTATTGATAGATCGTTTTGCGAAGTTTGTGCAGTTGATCTATCATATGCAGCCCAAGGTTAGGGTTTAGAGTAATTAAATTCGTTTATTTGGAACAGAGTGGCACTGACGTTCCGGGGAATTAATCATGTTTACGAGGATTTTCGGCAAACCTAAACAGGAGACAAATGCTCTCGCAACGCTAGATAAGTTAAACGAGGTATGCTTTTAGATCTTCTTCTGATTCTTTTGTCGTAGATCTTCCTTTTTGTTTTTTATTTCGAAGAGAAGCGATCTATGCTGGATTTCTGATTGTATTTTCCACTTAATTTGTTATTCAGCGGGAATCAGTTTATGTGCGGTTTGTTTTTCCCCATTCAACAAAAAGTTAAGCAAATTCCTTTTCTATATGTACCAGAGGATGTGATTTAAGTTTGAACGAGAAAAATCAAATTTTGGAGTATATCTTGTCGTCTCAAGAAAAAAAAAATCTACACTGCAGTCCAAAAGGGATCAATCAACATTGATTAGAGAGCGGATTGGAAGAGAAGGAAAAAAGCTCCTCTTTTCACCTTATAATTTATAGGAAGTTTGTAGCGAAAAAAAAAAAGGAAGTTGATTGCCATGTGCCCATGTCCCTCATTACATACGCAACTTATGCACATTGTAGAAAGAAATTAAGAAAAAAAATTAATGAGAAGGGAAAAAATGGACGTATAAGCTTATTTCTTTTGGATATGGTAAGAAGCGCCTTCTTTATTGCCACAGTACCAAAAAGAAAAGAAAGGCATATTATAAACTAACTCATTCTGTAACTAGGCTACATTTTAATCAGCATCTAGTGCCTACTTGGTAATTAGAAAACTATTTCTATACATGCATACAAGTGGGAAGGCATGGGTATTGGGCATGGCATTAAATAATGACACAAAAAAAAAGGTGTCACTTTATATAGCTAATGTATATGTATGCATCCAGGTATGTAGTCCTTTTTGAACATTATGATTGGCCTTTTCTTTGTTATTTCAGCATAATGTAGTAGCAAATTAGGTTTATAGACTATCATCCTTAATACAAAGGGTTGTTTCTCAATCAGATCTCTAGCTATAAGAAATCAATAATCATATAATTAATGTCTTTGATTCAGGCCTATCAGTATATTATACCTTCCAAAAGACTTGCAGCTAGCATTTTTATTCATTCTGGCCTCCTATGGTCATTGTGAGGAGCTGAATTAATAATTGATTTCACAACATAGCAAATTTCACAGTTATTTTTTTTTTTTTATTTTGACATCCCCTCTAAATTTCTTTTCTATTTGTCATGCCTTGCATTTGATATTTTGTTTGTATTGGCTTTAATTTATGCATAGTCTATCTTTGAGAATGGCGAAGGCACATCAAAGCTTTACTCTATCACTATCAGCTTAATCTGTTGGTAACCTGTCTCAATTTTATAGGTCATATCTGATTGGGTATTCACCCATTTATGGGTGAATTGTTTGCATTATAACATTGGTTCCTCATGTTGCAATTCCTTCAATATTTTATCTCATGGAGAGGGTATTAGATGTCCTATTCAATTGAAGTCCATTTCTATTTAATTGGCATTAAATGGAACTTACTTTACTGAATTAATCTGGAAAAATATTCATCAGTCCCTGTTTATTGGATGTAAGCATTTCTTTAAAGATTCCAATGCAATCAACATTGTATTTGAAGGGCAAGCTTTCAGGAAGGAATACCATTATGAGTTCAATTGTTCTGTCAATGTAATGGTCAACGTTTATGAAATAGATTTTTGTATTTAGCTACACTTCACCATGTTTAAGTGATAGAATATTTTAAGACACATGAATGGTTTGGTGCATGCTTTATGCACTGGAACTCTGGTAGAAGTTCTAGACAATATGCTATTAAAAACACTCATCGCTTTCCTATTTGTGCTGTGGATAGTGGATATTTTATATGAAATTGTAACATGATAATGCTTTTTTGATTCTATATGTCAGCCACCCTTCTCTTACTACTTGATCATTTTCCGCAGACACTTGAAATGCTAGAGAAAAAGGAGAAAGTCCTTATTAAAAAGGCTGCTTCAGAGGTTGAAAAGGCCAAGGAATTTACCAGAGCAAAGAACAAAAGGGGTATGGTTGAACTTTTTTTTTTCTGAGACAATTGCCTTTTTGGGTCACCTTATATGTTTATTTTAAATCCATCCATTAAGGTGTATCTCTTTTTGTTATTACTTAGAAAGTTTAAGTTACTTTTTACCTATCCTTGTTGCCAAACTGTGCAATCAAAAAAGAAAGTGTAGATATTATACAGATAGTTGATTTTCTTCCTTATTTTTTTCCTCAACCCATAAAGAGGGGCAAAATATCGTGGAGATGCATGAGGGCTTCAATCCTATGGACCGTTTGGGAGCAATGCAATATGAGGATTTTTTAAGAGAAAAGCCAAACTAAGGGAGTCTTGATGACAATGGTGGCAATTTGGGTTTAGACTATGCCCAGAGTTTCAAACTTATGATATTATTAGGAATTGACCAGATGTCACTCGTCACTACCTTGTCTACATTCTAGAACAAGAGTTAATGTCTAATGGTCACCTCCCACTCAACACAATATCAAGCTGAATTTTGATGGCTGAGGCCTAGGGAATCCTGGCAACTTGGGGGTTAGGGGAGTTTTCTGAAGGCATGGTGGGACTATTATGGCACTTTTATTGGGGCTCATTGGATATGGGGACAACACTAGGGCAAAACTCTTAGCAGCCATACAAGGACTAAGGTTGAGCAAAGTAGTGAGTTGGTGACAAACAATGTTGTGGGTACATGAAAGTATAGATATTTGTTGAGGGAAGTCAATTGTTGGTGGAAGAACTGGATGTAACTTTTTATTGGACTCCTAACTTCTAAGTGTGCTAAATTGCTAATGTAATGTTTGATGCCTAGCCAGGCAAGCTATGAATAGATGCACCTGTATTGGGGTGGTTCCAGAGGGAACCTGATGCAAAAGAAAAACTTACTGGGGTAGGTACTGATTACTAGCTCACAATAGAACTGATGTTGCACTTTTATACATCTCCCTTTTAAAGAATTCAATAAGATGTTTTGATTGTTACTGATAAAAAAAGGATATTCTACTCTACCCAAGGTGCTGTTCCTTCTCCATTGTTTTGTTCCTGTTATTGCTCCAACTTTCTTACCTCCATTGTTCCACCATATATACTGTGATTATATCAGGAATTCTCTTGATTTTATTAACTAGTAAATCTGTACGTGCATTGCACATGGTAGTTTCAAATGATAAGAACAACAACACAATTAAAAAACAATAGTGGTCATAATAATTTTAGGCTGCGTTTGGAAGCGGTGTAAAACCTCATCGATGTAAAAGTTCATCGATGGAGTTTCACACTGAACTGTAAAAGGTTCTGACCATTGAGCTTCGAAAAACATGGAGTTTTTACATCAATTTTATCCCACTCCATCCAAACATCGATAAATCTAAACCGGGAGTGGAGTTTTACATCGATCTTGATTTACACTCCATCCAAATGCCGACAAAACCGAACCGGTGTAAACTTTTATTTCGATGACGTTTTACATCGTTTCCAAACACAGCCTTAATGTTCTTATCAAAACCCATGTGACAAAGATAAGTAATTGACAAATGGTGTGTATTGGTGAAACCAATAACCCATTTGACCAGGTCAACGGACTTTGGAATTTGGATGAGATATTCGTCTCCTTATTTTTTTTCTTTTTTTGTATTTTATCTATCTCCATCATTAACCACAATAATACTCATTTTTAGACATTTTGTTTAATACAATGAATATATAACATTAAAGACATGCTTAGTTTTAGATAAACTTTATAATGTTTTCTATATAAAAAACAATTGATTGGTAACTCCTAATTAGTAATCCCATGGTCAAATCAACCAACCAATTGGTTAACTCATAATCAAACCAATGTTGTGTCAAATTACTTGCTTGTAAAATCAACCAATCGACTGGTTAACTCATAATCAAACCAATATTCTGGGTCCATTTATCATCAAATTACTTGCTTGTAAAAAACCATTAGCTCGATCAACACCATGGTGACCTAACTATTCGAACCATTGAATTGTTTTACCTAGTTAGTAGGGTCACAAATTAGACATTAATTGTCTTTATTCCTTGATTTTTGTATCCCATTTCCATCATTAATAAAAATGATTATTATTTATTGCATTTAATATGACAAATAGATAATATTAGATATGTGCCCATATTTTTCTACATAATTTCTATATTTTTTACAATTTACTATATTTCTATTATTTTTAGTTTTTATTATTTAATTTTGCATGGCATCATGGGCTGACCTATTTGGTCCAAAAGGTTGAACCACTAACTCGCCATCTAGACAGGAAAATGGTTTCATTTTTAGGTCAATTTTGAACTTTGTATTTCACTTACATTAGTGATAAAAATAACCATTGTTTATCACATTTATTTTTGTTTAATATAACTAATATATGATATTAGAGATTTGTCTAAATTTTTCTATTTTTTGTATTTCCATAATTCTTTGTATTTTTCCATTTTAAAGATTTTATCATTTACCTATGACATCATGGATTGGTCCATTTGATTCAAATGGTTGAACCACCCACAAATATGGAAATAATTTCATTTCCATGTCCATTTTAAATGTTGTATTCTATTTCCATAATAAAGAAACTTATTATTTGTCATACTTATTTTTGTTTAATATGATGGATATAATATTAGAGATGTGCCAAAAGTTGTCTACAATTTTTTTTTTTTGTGTTTTTATGTATTTTAAAATTTTTAGTATTTAATTATATGATAGTGGGTTGAACTGTTTGACTCAAATATTGAACTGTTTACTTGTCAATTGAATAAAAAAAGGTTTTATTAGTGGTTCTGTTTTAAAAGCATAGCTTTTTATACCATTGAAATTATTGTTCATAGATTTATTAAGTGGAATTTAATGATGAGAAACAGTGGTAAATTAAATATAGGATTTGATGGGAGAGAATGAGCATTAATACCATAAATATTGGTTTAATGAGAGGGAATAGAATGAACTTTATAGTTGAATTCGAATTACAGTTTCTGCCCTTAAAATATAGAGGGGTTAAATTCAAAAAGAGGGGGTATTTTGGTCAAGAAAAAGGTCCAGAAATCATGGGGGGCTATTCCCATTTTTATAGTAGTATATAGATTATTTTCAAACTTTCAATTGCTTACAGATTGTCTCCATTTGGGTATTGATATCGGAACTGGAACCGTTCTGGCCACTGGTTTCCGGGTTGACGGGTCAACCATTCAGTTCGAATGGATGGCCTGCTCTGACAAAAAAATTTAAAAAATAAAAATAAAATAAAAAAAGCAGCCAAAAATCGTTGAACAGTTTGGTGGTTCAAACCGCTTGGGTCAACGGGTTGTTGACCGATTCAACAGTTTTTGGCCAGGAACCGGGTTTGGGGTAAAACAGAACTGGTTGCCTGGACGGTTCCCGGGCTGAACGGTCCGACCGTCTGGGTCAACGGCGGTTCGAAAACCATGTGTAAGAAAGCATCAGTTGGTAGCAGCTCTTTGGTACACGTTTTTAGGTTATTATGGATCCAAATTTCAAAAAAATATGCTGTGAAGTGTTTCCCCATCTCTTGCTGAACTGAACATTTCCTTGTTGAATTTTTCTACTTTGTTTTGTCATGTAGCGGCAATACAATGTTTGAAGAGGAAAAGACTATATGAACAGCAAATTGAGCAGCTTGGTAACTTTCAATTGAGAATTCATGATCAGGTTTGTTGGTAATATTACATAATTTATCAGTATTCAGTGATTTGTTTGCATGTTAGTTGGTATCAAATCCTTTGAATTTTGTCATTTGGTATTGGCATTTCAGATGATAATGTTAGAAGGTGCAAAAGCTACAACTGAGACAGTTGATGCATTGAGAACTGGAGCGTCTGCAATGAAGGCTATGCAGAAAGCGACGTAAGTATCACTCTACTTCATTTTGCATGCATCAATTTAATTAGATCCCACCTTCAAGGTTTTGCTACTGCTCTGCTCTACTCAAGTTGTCACCGATTGTTTTACTATTAATTGGAAAGGTTTTATTCTAAATGGATAAAAAGAGATAAACAATAATTATTCCTTTTATAAACAAATACTTGTTCTTTTTATAAACAATAATTATTCTAAATGGATAAAAAGAGCTCTCCAAGGAGGCATATATGAGTGCAATGTCCACAACCCAATCATGACAAAAGCAACTAGACCATCCTGGGAGAGCATTTCCTTGGTACAGCTCATTTCTCATAACTGAACTGTAGCCTAACTCTCAGCTAACAAATGATCTGATTTTGGATCCATCTGAAGAGATTTTTATTCATGCATCAATGTTCTGGCCTCTCTGATGTATTGATGTAAAGACCAATTGCCCTTTGAATCCTCCTGCATCCATCTATCCAATGAGTCTGAGAGTCACTCTCCACCTTCGTTTTAATTGATACTGATGTTAGTTACCCAAGCTTTATTGTTTCTGGGTTGTTTATTGATTCTCCTTTGAGCTTAGAACCCCTGTCCAACCAACTGAGCAAGCGTTGGAACTGAAAATGTGACTTAGTAAAATGGAATGAAGGGAACATAAATGATATGCATTAATTATCAAAAAAAAGACATAAATGATATGCATTGTTTCTAATGAAAAGTAAATTAAGATAGTTTTGCCATGTGCCTGGAAGTCTACATACTATACCAAAGAGTGATCTGAATTCTGATGCATGCTTGGGGTTTTAAAATACATGGAGCGAGATTGAATAGAGTTGAGATAAAACTATGAGAAAAGAACCTCTAAGGAAGATAGCCCTTAAACCAATGAAGAGGTGGCAACATGGTGACCACCCTCGGCTCGTACTTCCTCTTGGGAGGCAGTACAAAGGAGGTGACCAGAATGAGAGCCCTGGTTCTCATTTCCCATCATTCCAGATGTCGCTTATATTTTCTTCTGTAGGCATGCATTCTTCAGCTTACAGATCCGCTTCCCTATTGCCAAATCTATTCTCCTTTGCTGTCACACTGCCTGCCTCATTACTCCATCCACCATTGAATTTATCAGGTATGTCAGGTTTTGTCTTGTGAGCCGGCTGAGTTGGACATCTGCTGAAAATACCCCTCAATAGAACCGAAAGAAATATTGAAATGGGATCTGTATTACCTAATCCCAAATAGTTGGTATAACCGTATAACACTTCATTGAGTGGATAGATTTGAGTATTTATGAATTATGATGTAACAGAGAATATAGTGCCTGATAGATTTGGTTTACCAGGCTCTGTTGAGTTGAGTGGCTTGAGTCAAAATACTTGGGCCTTGTTTTCCTTGGCTTTTCATGACGCTTCTATCACAATGGCAATTTCACTGTTTATTCTAGTGTCAAACCTGTGCAATGCATGTAGATCATGGCTAGGAATGGCAACAGGGCGGGCTGGGGCCGGGTTTTGCCTGCCCCGTACCCGACGCTGAATTGAAATTCCCCACCCCAAACCCCGGTGGGGCTAAAAATCTTAACCCATTCCCGTCCCCACGGGGAATGGGGATCCCCGACTTTGCCCCGCCCCGCCTTGGTCATTCTTGTATATTTATAAATTTATTTATTTTTATTTTTTTGAAACCTACCTAGAACTATTTCATATTATGTAATATAATATAGTATAATATAATATATAATAATATGTTATGATATAATATACATTAGCATATATTAACAATTTTATATGTATTATGTAATATAATATAGTTGGGCGGGATCAGGGTGGGGTGGACAAATACTATCCCCGCCCTGTCCCTGACCCCCAGAGTTTCGGGTTTTCCCTGAACCCGCCCTGAACCCTGATCAGTTGTCAAAAATCCTGCCCCGACCAGGTTGGGGCAGGGTGGGGCCCTACAGGGATGGGTCAAATTGCCATCTCTAGTCATGGCAGATGTTGGCATTTCTGCTGCTGATGTTTTGTTATCATATGAAAATTTCACTTTGTTCATATAAGCAAAAAATGTCAGTAATGGATTTCAAAAACCAAGTTTCCACTAAGCAAACAAATTTCTCAACAATGTTCACCATAACTCATGGATTCCATGAAATCTTTACAGAAATATTGATGATGTGGACAAGACAATGGATGAGATTAATGAGCAGACTGAGAACATGAAGCAGATACAGGAAGCTTTGGCAACTCCTATTGGTGCAGCAGCTGATTTTGATGAGGTAATCACCCTCTTTCCATATGCTCCCCCATGGGAGGTTACTTTTTTGAAGTGAATAATCAAAGCGATCTGAACTTTCAGGATGAGTTGGAGGCAGAGCTTGAAGAATTGGAGGGAGCAGAGCTGGAGGAACAGCTTCTTCAACCTGCTACAACTGCTCCTGCAGCTCCAGTGCATGTGCCAGCAGGCAGGCAATCAACTCGCCCTGCACCTCAGAAGAACACAGCCGAGGAAGATGAGCTCGCTGCATTGCAGGCAGAGATGGCTCTTTAAACAGGTATTTCTTTCTTTTAATTTATGTTCATTCTTTCATTTACTGAAAAAAGTTCATTATTTGTTTTGAAGATTCTAATCCTGCCTTCGTCAAGGTTGGGGTGGGGGGTTGGGAACTTGTGGCCATCAAATGTAATAGAAAGCACAACGGAATTGTTTCATTGCAAGTGTGTCTGATATGTTGCTAATAAAAAAACAATTGTCTGATACAATGCTCTTGGTTATCGATAAGAAGTGCAAAAATATCCGGGATCAGTTTAGATTCAGACATTTTCCTAATTAAAATGTGTTCTTTAACAAAACTGATGTTTTTCCTGTTCTGATTGTGTTGGTTTTATCTTGTGCAGTTAGTTCAGTCCATGCAGTAAACGTGGATTGTGTAAAGATTGGGTACTCAGGCTGATACTCCAACTTCCGCAACATCTCGGTGTGCATTCAGGCGTTGTATAGGTGGCATAAAGTAAACAACCCCCTCTGAAATCTGTACCCTACTTGGGATAAGAAGTTTTCTGTTTTATAGAATACCTTCGTTGTGAGTTTATTGTTCTGTCACGCATTGAAATCAATGTCACCATGGGCAAGGTATATTATACATGAATAATGAAGTTTATTGCCACATGTTCTGAACTGTTTTGTTGTTAGCTTTAAATCAATGTAGATGCGCCTAAACTATTTACTGGTTTGGGGGAAATCAGAAATATGAAATTCCCAAATGGGGAATGCCATTTCGGGATCACATCTCCCGAAGTTGTCAGTGGGAGATGTTCCCAATGCACGGTTGGGATATGCTGTGCGGTGAAGATGTGAATTCTTTCAATAAGAATGGGATTCCCATGTTGGCCAACTAAACAGTTGAATTGGAATGAATCATTCTGGTTCCGATTCCAGACCCTATTCCCATTAAGCAAATGGAAATGGAGTACTGTATAAGCCTTAAAGAATTATTAACAATAAATAAAAATAAAAAACAACAATGAATATTTAAACTGATCATTGGCGTATGTGAGAAAGATCATTACTTGAAAGTGTTGTTTCTTTGACAGTTTGGCTAAATCAGCGGGAAAAATACAGGCGAGTTTAAGTATCGTTTAAAAGAGAGAGTTTATGTGAAATGGAGGTGGAACGACGACAGTTGTAGTGCAGCTGTTCAAATTTAAGGTTTTAGACTAGAACTTGACGGAATTCCTCTACTCTCTCCTTCCCGCCCAACCCCCCAATAGGTGGTGGTGGTGGTGGCAGAGGATCAATGGCTAATCCACTGGGTGTCAAACTGTAAATGATGTTGAGCTCGGATTACCTTTATAATGCGCCATGCCTTCCAACTAGGCTTTCCGTTTTTGAAAATTTGAGCTGATACAAAATTGAGGTACCTCAATGGTAGAGGGGGCCTCGTTCGTTTCAATACTCATGGATTTGAAATAAACTTGTGTTCGTTTGCTACTATAACAAGGCCCACGGAAAAGATTTTTCCCAAAGACTAGATTTGACAATTGTGTTGTGATGATGTGCGATTTAGAAGCTCCTAGCTGAAGGGTTGTCTGGATGTGTTTTGCGTGGCGAGCTGGATCAAATTGTGAAACATACCAGAGAGACCGGGGTGGAAGATCCGATGAGGTCACTCTGATGCTTAAGCCAGTAATATGTAGCGGTTGCGAGCTAAAGTTTTAGATGCTAAAGAGCTTGAATGCAAACAATCACACATACCTGGGCCTTGGAGGGGTTGTTGCCTTTATATAGTTGAACTGCCATGGGTCCCACGAAATGGTCCCGGGATCTTCGGCCTGAGTAGATAAGATCCATTTCCGCTTTAGTCGGGGAGTGACACATTGGTTAAGGAAGTCTATCGTCTCCGCCCGCTCCGGGTGGGGAGAAGATAAAGTCTGCCGTTATGCGGCGTGATCCCATGGGGTTTGGATTTCGTTGGGTAGTTTCTGGAGTCGATTACATGTCACTCCGGGTCTTGAGCCCTGAACTAGATTAGGTGCCAAGATGCCTTTACACCGAGGTGGCTTTGTGCTGAGGTGACTGAACACCCGAACTCTGAAACTGCTGACTAGGCTCCTTTTGCTGAATTGTCACCTATCAGGCAGATCGCGTCCATGTGACCTTTACTTGCTAGGTCGTGCCAAATCACCCTCCATCAGGTTGGGTGGGTCGAGTTCAGGTTGGGTCAAGATACTTTGGGTTGATTTAGGGTCGGGTTGAGTTATCAAATGCTAGACCCTAACTTTCCTTTCCTTTCCCTACTTTTTCCTTCAAACCAAACATATCTTAAATGTTTGTGTTAGGGTTGACCCATGGATCAATTCGGGTCATCCCAAAAAAATAAATGAAATTTAATAAAAATAAAGAAAAATTACATGAAAAATGCCAAAATTAAAAGAATTAACCTTAAAAATTCTAAATATAAAACAAAAAAACTTGAGCATTTAACAATTTAAAGAGTAAACAATAAAGAGTAAAGACTAAATATAAAAAAATTAAAGAGTGGAAACTACTAACAATTCATAAATAGTCCCAATTAGACTTGACAATCGGTTTAGCGGGTTGACCCATGACCCAACCCAACCCAACTCCAGTTTTTTCTGGGTTAGGTTAGGTAGAGTCATTCTCACATTCAAGTAGCTAAATATGAGACCCTAACCGTGTTTTTTCAGGTTGGGTTGGATCAGGTTCACGGGTTGGGTCAGCTTTTTGCCAGATCTACCAAAGACTGACTATTGGTAACCATTATGAGGGTGAATAAGTTAATCATATGCCAAAAAAATCAAATTATATGTTTGGCATCGATATTGCAGATGCAGCACCGTTTCCTCACTGATGTATAGGTTGAAAACACTACATTTTTTTTGTAATCGTTGCTGTCAGGTAGTACGTTTCTGGGGTTCTCATCTGCCACTCACAACTTTGCCCCCAAAATCATCCCACGCGCTGTGAGTTTGCCGCGTGTCCTTCCACACGCGGATTTGAGGAACTCGTGCGGAGTTAATCGTGTGTCCTCTCGCCTAAAAGGTCATCCTTTTCATTTCAGAACACTCAACCCTCCATCTGCTCTCAGAACTAAAACCCGCCGGAGATTTCTCCCTTCTTCTGCTCTCAGAACTAAAACCCGACGGAGATTTCTCCCTTTGAGTTCTGCCGGTCAATGCCGACGATCACTCCGGCAGATTTATTTACCGGAGGTAAGTTTTTCTCATTTTTTTTATGTTTTTTGTTTTTTTCTCATTTTTGCCGGAGTGAGAGCCCCCTTCCAGTTCCGCCGGTCGACGCCAACAAGTCACAACATCTGCAACTCTGTCTCTTCCATTGACCAAGACCAAAACTCTACCTATGTTGGTAAAATCTCCCAAATTTCAGTTGTAAACCAAACCAAGACCAACCAACAAATTCAAGATGTGGCTACTACGAAACGAAACGGAACCCATACCCTCAGTCCCTCAGAGAAATAACAAATTTTCATATTTAGCAGCAGAACCATTTCCTTCAAAAAGAAAAAAAATAATAACAAAGGAGGAAAAACTGAAAGAACACTCGCCAAAAAAATATAATAAATAAAAGGATAAAAAGCAAGGGTTCCATTTAATGCAACTGTGATGGATGAAAAATAAGTAGCACACAACAAAGCATACAGAATCATCAAAAAGAAACCATTTTGTAGACAGTCGATGCAGTTACCTGCAACCGTGACCGGAGAATTATCATCTTTGGATTTAACCTGATTATTGCCCTTGGAAATCAAGCTCTCCTGCAACCTCTGACAGAGAGAGCAAGCCATTTGAACGATTCTAACAGCAACATCCAATTCTGTTGAATATTCCTCTGTTTCAGAGGATATAATCCCCAACTTTTCGTCCTCCATGATCGATGGAGAAGTTCGATGAAAACCCGAAAGAGAAGCAGCGTTTTCTGAGAGACCCACCTTGCTGGAAGAGGCGGCTAGGCAGCATTTACTACTGGATAATAGCAGAACACCTACATGCTTAGATGTGAGATTCTTTCTTCTCACTACCAAATTATGTGGGAGTTGTGTTGCGTGGCTTGCACAGAATAACGGCATCAAAGACTCCCCTTTCAATCAATTTAAGCTATCTTCGCCTACTCCGAGAACTTGTGAAAATAAAAGATTAGATTTTCAGATTTTCAACCGTTACTATTAGTTGTGATTGTGGCTGTGGGTACGGTATAGAGGTGATGTAGCACAACTGGATCATGTTCCATAGTGCTCTGCACACGGGTAAGTGGGACAAGTGGGACATTACATGGTGTCAGATGAAACCATCATGAAACGGATGCGAAATAGCTACGAACCCCTGCTGTTTATTTCATATAGGTTCATTCGTGCACATGAAAATATGGCACTTGGACATGCACTCTCGAGGTGTATCCAAATACCATATTCCAATAGACTTGGTTTTTTTTTTTTTCTGTTTGTGGATTTCGATATCACCCCAGTTCTGTCACTGGAATTTGAGAGATTCACGGGAAGAGATCTTAGTATCTTACTGATTGACATGAGAAGCACCAGAGAGCTTACTCTGATACCAACCAGCACATCATCACTTGTATAATTATAGAGTTGTTTACAGCATTCGTCGAACACAATATAGTAATATACATTGGGAATAGATTATGGAGCCACTAGAAAAAAAAAAAAAAAACTTCTCTCAGGGGAACTGAGAAACTGAGATTCTATTTATTCAAGGCATAAAATCAATTCCAATCAATTCCGAAACAAGGTAAACGGATGGAAGTGAAGGAAAAAAGAAGAAGAAAAAAAAGAGGGGCACAAGAAGAAGGAAAGAGAATGGAATAAAAAAAGAGCTTAGAGAGAGAATCCCCATATAAAATAAGAAAACTAATATGTGCCATTGTCAATTGCCATACAATACAAGCATGAAAAGGAAGGAACCCACATCGCTGAATATATCTCTCTACGTTCCTATCTGTCTGTCCATCTTCTATGACTCAATGTATGATATAGGTGAGCACCATCGCGGCCAACATTAGCATGTAAGCTATTCCTTGGTCTATCGCAACTCCTGCAAAAACAAAACCAACGCACGATTATTATTCAGAGAAGCTCAAATAATTCTAAGTACGTTCGTATGTAGTAGTACTTGACTACTTGTTTTATTTTCTTTTTATCAAGGGGGCAACCACGGAACCACCCAGAATCCAGATCAGACAGGATGATTCAGGCCATGAAGCAAGAGAACCCAGTTGGTTATGGGATTGGGCTTGAGAACCGACACCTAGAAGAATAGAAAAAGATTTGAGTTGACAACACTAACCATCGCTGGAAGGAGCAGGAGCAGGGCTCTGCGCATTGATGACAGGTAAAAGCAAGGTCAGGAAGAGAGCCAGAATAATGGCTACTTTTGCAGAAGACAATCTCACCAATTCCATAAGAAAGCTCATTGCTGGTTTTCCTTTCCCTCTCTATAAACAATAGGTACAGGGCCTGAAACAGAAACTGAAAGCCTAAGAACCATGTTCTTCGGTTTTAAAAAGGATTGGGGAACTTGGTTGGGGGAGAATCTCCAAAGGAATCGCATTGCCAGTCTGGCTGACAACTGTTGTCAGACTGCATAAACCATTAAATCCTTCTGGACCAGTATATATTTGACACGTGTACAGATGGAAATTCCTCATGCATGTTCTGAGTTGTTATTGTTAATGTGCTGGTTGTTCCCACCCTATTTTATGTATCCACGATTGCCTTCTACACTCATTAATATTCAATTCGTCCCCCCAGTTCCAGGTGTTCCTATTTTTTTTTTCTCTTGAATTTTCAAAAAATGGATTCGGCTGCCAGTTACAACGGCTAATCTCTGCTACTGCATCATGCTCTTCCGGCTGACACGTTTATGGAGGAATTGCGATTTGCCAAGTGCCGAGGATGATCGATCAATGCTTGCTGATCCAAGATGCAGCGGTGAATCAAAGTCGACGATCAACATCAACATTTTCGTGGGACCCACATAAGAAATCACACAACCGTTGATCCATTTGAATGATTCAGATTCACCTAGACGGCGTCGTGACTTTCCGGCATCATAGTATTGGTGGCCATGGCAACACATCTAATTCAAGGTGGGACCATGACAACACATCAAAGGTTTTGAATTAGTTGTTTGGGCTCAGCGCTACAACTAATTAGGTGGCCATGGCGTAGCAAATGTGGCTTGCTAAACATAACGGACATAAAAGATAAAACATCCCCTTTGCCATTTAATCCCCTTTGCCATGTAGAACATAAGAGCCAAAACCTACACTGCTACACATCATGGTGGGAGAGAGAATTGGAATTGAGGGAAATCACTAATTGATAGGAATGACAATGGATAAGGACAGGGATTATATTTTCCATCCCCAATTTTTGTTGGGAATAAAATTTGTCTTCCATCCCCAATTTCTGATAGGAATAGATTCCCCATAACCCCGATTAAGGATTCCTAATAATCTCCATCCCCGTCCCTATCCTGCCAAAACAATCCCATCAGCATCAGGGAAAATTGCCATCCCTACCAGTTGAACTGGCAATTGTCATTAATTGAATACTTTCTCTTCAGAAAGACAGAAAAAAGAAAAAAAAAAATCCGTCATACCGTCAAACTTTGTGGATTAAAGAGCCTCAGCGAAGCCCCCCTTCCCTCCAAAAAAAAAACAAGAAAAGAAAAAACACACTTCAACCACCAAACTCCGATTCATTGTATTAGTAAAAAGCATCAAGTTGTTATACACCATTTATCAACTGGGAAAAATTAAAAAAAAAGGCAAATATAATTTCGATGTTTGAGGGAATACAACTTTACCCTTCTTCTTGGCTTCTTTTTAAGCTGGAATGTTACCTGCTAACTTTTGAAAATTTAACATATACATGGTTTCTGAGAATAACAAATTATCTTTCGAATAGCTTCTAGCATTTATTCACCAACTGCGCTGGCTGAAACCAAAACTGCAGGTTCCAAATAGTCGAAATCATCTCCCATACCCACCTGCAGTTTGATTGAAAAAGAAATTACTCAAAAGATACAAAAATAGAAGAAAAAAGGTTTTAGCATGAGTTGATTATCCTCCAAGAAACACAGGGTGCATGGTCTTAATCGGACTTTACAAAAATGTTGAAACCAATTTGGCTATGTCCATCATTTATATCCTGAAAATGGCTCTGCATCCCATTTAAGAGGAAGGGCTATGACATAGGAGAATGTGTCCAAGTTTTCAGACTTTTCTCATGGGTGGGAGATAGGTTGAAGAGAAGCGATAGGAAGTTCTGAAGTGCGGTTATGGCTTGTGCAGAACTTCGATAATTAAACTTTTAAGTTAATATGTAAACATGAAACTGTATGTGGAAGTTTTATCTTGTGCATTTATATTTCCATATAGAAGTTGACAACGTGCATTTCAACAAAACTTATCCCATTTGAAACCTCATTCCAATTATAAAACTATGGAAGTGTGATGCCTGACACATTTCAATTAGGCATTGGATATGAATGGGGCATTGCTTGGTATAATGGTAAAACCCAAGGCTGACAAGTATAAGAACATGGGTTAAGAGTCTAAAAGCAGTCACTTTGTACCAGAATCCAGAAAAAAAGCCAAAGGTTAGGTGTGTATCCAGCCCACCCCTCCCAAGACCCTATTAGCTGGGAGTCTGGGACCAACAAGGGATAACCTGACTAAATGCATGCTATGCAATCATAAGAAAATATAAACAAGGAGCTGGACCATTATTTCATCAAACGGATTAAAGGAATATAATTTTGCTTTAAGCTAGCAAGTCCGATCACATGCATATTTAAGGAATTGGGAAATATTGATACCTCCTTGTACATGTGTTCAAGCTGCTCTTTGGCCTCAGGAAAATTGTTTGAACACCATTGACGTAATGTGAAGATATTATCTGTGGGATGGTTTATGAGCAGTAATCACAGAATAAGGACTATTGGAATTTATCACCCATAAATAGGACGGAAATGAAAGCTGATTAAAGTTAGAGATATGTCAAAGGTATTACCTGTCCATCTATTAGCTGCTGCATGGGCAACTGAAATTGCATTCTCTGTCAATGTCAAAATGAAAATATTATTATATGCATGAGTACATGACTCAGAGAAATAATGTGAATCCTTCTGAATAAGAAATAAAGGACATACAAGAATGAGAAATCCTGATCAATTCTCAATAATGTGCATTCATGATAAAATAATAGAATAACAAAGACTTAAGAAGAGTTGCAGTATCAAAAAGAAAATCTTAACTCATTGCTTCAAGAGCAGCTGGGTCATTTTCTGCATATCTCCCCAATTCTTCCTGAAAGACCAGGGCATAGTCTCCAAAATTAACTTGCATAAACTTTTTATATTACTCAAGAATGAGAAACAAACAGGGTATGAACTACCTTCAGCTGGTTGTACTTTATCTCAATAGCTTTCAACTCACTCAAAGCCTCCTCTCGTTCATCCTATATTAAAGTTTCAGGGCTAAAATGTCAAACCTGCAGAGCTTATCCCTACAAGAAAACTTTTCATTTTAAGCACAGAAAAGAGGGATGCTTTATAAACTTACAGTTTCCTCTCTGCCCTTCTTTAAGCTATTCCTGTACTCAGTAAGTTCAGAAAAACGCTTCTTGCTGCTTTCAATATCAGCTTCCAGTTTGCGGTATACGTTCCTAAGCTATAAAATAGTAAACTCTTTACATTATCAATATGAAAATGGGTTTATGTGTCTAGGAACAAGTACAAAATAAATATTTATTGTGTTGCAGTTATTGCAGAAACAGAAAAAGAAGAAGCAAAACTTCACCAGATTTCCAGCACAACTAGGAAGGCTCCAAAAGTATACCTGCGAGTTCATAACGTAAAACAACAAAATATAATAACATGAGAGAAAATCCAACTCAGCATAGGGTATAACAAATCCCACCAGAAAAGGATTGCATCTTCTCATGTCTACCAGCACATGAGTCTTCTATTATTTACTTGAAAGAAGTTTCCAGTGAAAATTGAATTTTATGCTTTCAAATGTTTCCCATAACATATACTCACTGAACTGCCTATCTTGTCTTTTGAAACAAGGTCATCATCCACCAAACTTTGGACGACATCCTTCACAGACTGGCTGATAACACCTTTCTTGGGGCCCAACTTCTCGAGCTCTCTAAGCTGAGGTCAGTGCACAAGTAAGGAATTAAATCTGAAAACCCAGGTATCACATCCAATAGAACCTATGCAGGTTTTTAGAAGTGTTATCCAGAAATAACACATGAAAAAAATCTTTAGAAAAATCAATTATCAGAAGGACAAATAGACAGAAAGAACAGTGCATTTATGCCAATAAAGGGAGAAAAATAAAAGAACAATGGAGTCACTCAGCCGTGGCCAAGATGGAATTAGATGCAGAATCCAAGCTTCCATGCTGCAATACTCCAATAATAAGCCATAGGAATAATACTAGACACATCTCAATTAAAATCCATAGCAGTAGTAGCAATCAATCAATTACAAGATCTTCTTAGCATATCAAACATGACAAAGAATCACTTGAGCAATGGATAAAATCCTGCCTCAGAAGACCTGCCTAGAACTTTAGTTTTCATTACTGAGGATAAAGAGGAAAAAAAGATTGTATAGAAGATGAAGAACATATTGCCATCATTTACACATACAATGCTTCAAAGCAGTGGTAAGAATTTAACAAAACCAATCCAAACATTAAAATAATGTATTCATTATGGGCATTAGTCCCAAATTTTCCTGAATTTTTTAAAAGAAAAAAGATGGAAATACACAATTCCTTTGCTAAAACATAACAAAAGCTTATGGTTCCAATGCAAAATAAATAATCGAAGCTACTGAACTATCTCACAGAAGTACAGATAGGAAAATAATACTATTATAGAAAACCTGAGAGGTGAGAAAGGCTGAGAAAATAATTTCTTCTTATATGTCTTCTTAATGAAGATTGAGACTTCTGAATAATTGAAGAGACTGCTCAATCTTGTAATTTTTCATATTTTCATGAAAGCATAAGGAGATGTTACTGTTATCTAGCCATCTCCATAAAGCAATCAAGTGGACAAATAAAGCTGATAAACTGTTGAACAAGTTCTCTGTTACTGATAAAAAAAAAAAATGTTGAACGAGTTCATCCAAAACAGAAAGGGGGAAAAGATCATTTGTGCCAAATAAAAACTGTTCTACATGTTCCTCAAAGAAGTAGCAAGTCCGTTCTTCACCCCTGTGGCCAATAATGATGAAGTACATGGAAAAACAGCAAAAGCATAATGGATATAATCATGTGACATCAATTTCCAAAATCTAAAAACATAAATTGATTCCAGGCTGCTGTTTCAAGTCAACAGTAAAATGGACTACTCTTTTTCAGGAACTAATTTCTATTTCATAGTGATGATTCAAGAGAGTACACATAAAACACTGACATGCAATACAAAGAAAAGAGAATGATTTCAAGAATACATTATAATTATTTAATTCAGTAGTAAAAAAATCAATAATGCTCTTTGCCTCTTTCAAGTTTTCAAGTTTCCAATTTTCACTTATTAATTTGTACAAGCTATTATTTGGCAGGAATCAAACATGTAGGAGTAAAACAAAATTCTGAAGTAAGAAATACCAGATCAGTATCCAGGCAGAACATATAAGCAAAACATATATAATCTTAAGGGACATTTGTAAATGAGGAAGTTTGCAAGTCAAGAACAACTTATTGATAATTTTGAAGGGAAGTTGTATATAGGAAAACAGAAACAGCATGTGCAACATGACTTTTAGAATGCACAATAGAAGGGATGGAACGAATACGAACATTATAGTATTTCTAATTCATAACTTACTGTAATGAAAATATAAAGCTTCTTGAAAATTGAGAATGCAAGACACATTTATAATTTCACTCACAAGAAAAAAGTCCTGGGATTCATAAAAGATTTGAAGGATCTGCTCTCGCTTCTCTTCTAAAGAAAGACCCCTTTTCTTTGACTGTGCAATAAACCCAAAAAAAAAAAAGTCATAATCAGATTTCCTCGTCATATATACTAATTTTTTGGGATATAAAAAATATAAATGAAAAGATCCACTTTCCAACTTAATGCTTGCCAGCATAATGTAGTACTTCCAAGTTCCAACGTCGGAAGAAATGCTTGTCTATTGCGTTATTGAAAGAAGTAAACAAGGTAGAAAGACCGAACCAAGCAATCAGATGCCTGTAGTGGAGGGGATTCTTCTATTTCCTTACATTCGGGATGGAGATTTCTGCAGCCCATTGATAAATTTGTTCCATATTCAGGTATTAAGTTATGGTGAAAAGTGAAAACCGTCTCTCACATGGTCACAATAGAACCTGCTTGCAGATGTCATTTTCTGTTTCTAATTTTTCTTTTCTCAATTAGACGATCGAACTATCTAACGTTCAAAATCTAAAACCAATTTTAGTGATCCAAACTACATTCGAAATTAAAGTAAAACGTCGAATATTACACACAACAAGATGATTTAATTGACTAGACAACAATAAACTGTAGAAATCAATAGTATCATTTCAATAGAGAGAAATCCTAAATTCAAATCGAGATTCGAAGACGAACAATTTATTAATTAATTAATCAGAGAAAGGAAGAAACAGCTGAAAAATCATTATACAATGTAAACTTAATAGAAACAGAAAATGAGAAGACATGGTAATGGTAATATTTCCCCTTTTTGTAATCAAGTAGCTTCTCCGTCTCCAAGAAGTTAAAATTACCATGGAGAAGTCTTTCTTCGGTAGTTGCAGACTTGCAGAAGACAGACCGAAAGAGGGAAAGACCGCGCGAAGAAATGTTGTCGAATAGCGGGAGATTTCTCTTTTTACTAATAGCGAAGAAATTGGACCGGCTCGGCACAGCACGGTGCGATGGCACGCGGGCGGTGCTAGCCCGGCACGATGGTCCAGGCCGTGCTGGGTCTGAGGTTCTAAGTCCATGGGCCGGCACGATACAGCCCGTAGGCCTGTAGCTATGCTCCAACGACTAGTTTTTTGGGGGTTTTACAGAAATACCCTTGAACAGCTATATACGGGGTATTTGTGTATTTTAGTTTTTGGGGGGAGAAAGAATTACACAAATTCTCCCAACAAACTATATAATAATTAATTTGGGGGGGAGCATTTTGGGTAAAGTGATAACTAATTTTACAATGACCAAAATACCCCTCTTAACAACTAAAGAATGACTAGTTTTTAGGTTATTTTGGGTAATTGAATTATTTTCAATTTCTATAAATAACCATTTCCTCCACCATTCTCATCACACCAATTCAACAATTCTCTTAATATCTTTTTTAGTTCTCATATTCTCCCAAAAGCCTCAATCTCTCATACATTCTTTGATTCTCCAATTCTTTACTGAAGTTTCAATAAGAAGAAGGCTTGCTCAACAGCTCAAATATCTCAAGTTAGCAATTTGGGAGGCTTGGACTCTTGGAGTTGAAATACTTCAATTGTTAAATCAAGTTGGGATTCCGAATCAGCAATCCAGGTAAGTGTAATTAAATTATTTTTTATTTTTTTTAGAATTTTAAAAAATGGTTGGTTCCTCCTAAAACCAATTCCCCAACATGTTCAATGTCAATGATATTCAGTCATAGCATGATAGTGCTAGCATCGATATTGATGCTATTGAGTTGTTTGCCAAAAAATGTAGGAAAGACTAGTTATTGTAGCAAGGGTAGTATTGGCCATTTGGGCAAACATTTGCTCACCCATGAAAAAAGAAGAAGAAGAAATAAGGAAGAAGAAAAATAACATAAACACAAATCGGGCCGGGGGGTTGGTACTTTTAAATGTTCTAAAAAAAGATGCAAGAATTAGCAAAATACATTGTACATGCTGAACAACCATTTTTGTTAGACTAAACTTGAAAAATGGTTACGTAATTCTATAAATCCACAATTTAAAAAAGTTTCTAGGAATACTATTAGATCATATGATTTAAAAAAAAAATTCATATAAAAAAAATTTAATTTATATGTTATCAAATCTTAATTCTAAAGTTGCAATTACTTCTGATATTTGGACTTCTAAATTTAACATAAATTATATTTGTGTTATCAGTCATTTTGTTGATGAAAATTGGCTTTTAAATAAAAAAAATTAAGTTTTACTAGGCTTGTATGGCCACATATTGGCCTAACTATTGTTGCAAGTATTTTAAATACTTTACATGCTTATGGAATTGAGAATAAATTATTTTCTATTAGTTTTGATAATGATAGTAATAATGATTCAACAATAAATATTTTAAAATCTCAATTAAAACCATGTTTAAATGATAAATTATTTCATGTCATCTAAAATTTATGTATTCAAGATGCTTTAAATATTATTTCTATTCATATTTTTAAAATTAGAAATTGTATTATATATATTAAAAGTTTTGGAGTAAGAAAACAAGAATTTCAATATTTATGTCAAAATTATGGTTTAAAATATAAACATTTTATATTAGATGTTAAACATAGATGGAATTCCACTTATGGTATGTTAGAAAGTTGTATTTCTTACGAATAAATTTTTAGTGATTTTTATAATGCAAAAATGCCTACTGATATTATATTTGATGAAGATTGGGAAATGACAATTTGTATAAGAGTTTTTTTAAAACACTTTTATAATTCAACTAATGAATTATTGGGTATTTATTATCCAATTAATTATAATTTAGCTTATCAATTAATGATGATTAGTGTTGTGCAAAATATAGAAAGAATCTACAATTTAAAAGTATTGTTGAAATAATGGAAAATAAATTTTAAAAATATTGGGAGAGCATTTCTCCTCTTTATTTCTTAGCTACAATATTAGATCCTAAGATTAGGAAAGATGGTTTAGATATTTTACTTGAAACATATTATGAAAATATGAATATTGAAATTAAAAATAAAAATAAGAAATTAATAGTTTATTATTTGAAATGTATAATTTACATGAATTTGAAGTAACAAGGAATAATAAAACTTCTACAATTTGTACAGTTGCATCTTCCACTTTTGAACTTGGGTCCAGTAGTGGAAGAGAGAATTTATTTTTATTTAATAAGAGGTAGAAATCCACTGAGTCGACAACAAGTTCATTTAGTGAACTTAATTTTTATTTACAAGCAAATTTTCTACTTTAGGTGATTCTTTCTTCACCTCAGAGGGAACAAGTAATTTTGATATTTTAGCTTGGTCGAGTGAACATGCAAAAAATTATCCAATTCTCGCCACTGTGGCACGTAATCTACTAACCCCTCTAGTGTCTACAATTCCATTGAAGTCTTGTTTTAGTGCATGTACTAGGGTGTTAGACGACAAGAAAAACTATATAAATGATGAAAGTCTAGAGATATGCATTTGCTTTAGAGATTGGCTAGATGCTGAAGATAGATTACAAGACAAAAGAGGGCATGACACTACACCTGATGTTTCACTTGAAATAGATGATCAAAGTTAAGAATAATAGGAGAAAATGATGAAGTCAACATTTTTTGTATACTCAATAGTTATATAGCATTTTTTCAAATATTGTAAAATTTGTTTTAATTTTATTTGATTTATTTGATATTTTTAATATTTTTTTTTATTTTCAATTTGTAACTATATTGTATTTCTTATATTTTATTAATTTATTGCATTTTCCAATTTTCATATTTCATTCATCCAACCATTGTATGATTTGTATTATTCGAATTTAAATGAAATAAAATTCCTATTTTTCTTCCAATTTGTTATTCACTTTGAGTCTTTGTTTCTTTGACTTCTTATTTAGTTAAGTTTTTTTCCATTTTTTTGTTAGATTTCTTATTTTTTCAAATAGTTCCCAAAGGAAAGTTAAATGTTTTAGTTTTACCTAGCAAAGAAATGAAAAATAAAAAATTTCAAAAAAAAAAACAAGGGCAAATTTCTTAAAGTACCCCTAAGTTTTAGGAAATTGACTAACTCTACCCTTACTGTTTACGTATTATCTGAAAGTACCTTATGTTTTCTCACAATTGATTAAATCCTCCTTTACCGTTAGTGTATTGTTATAATCCATTCACATGTGATGGCATGTGACTTATATAATTTTCTTTATCCAAAATTACCCTTTGTGGTCAATTTTATCCTTCATTATTCTTCAAAATTTTAAAATAAAATCCAACAAAAGCATCTGTAATACTATACTTGATGCCTTCCCCATCTTAGGTGATGCAGTGATGGTTTGACACACACTCCGGTGGTGCCACCAGTAACATCCCAAGCCTTCTTGCTAAGGGATACCCACAGAAGCAATATTTGAAAACAGAAATCTAAATAAGCTCAAGTACATATCGATGGTGCTGCTATATAGAAATCTAAGGAAGCTCAAGTACTTAAACAAGTTCCATTAATATGGATTATCATTCACGAGCCAAGCCAAGGCTGGGAAGCTGGATTTGATCACGTGTTACATAACCACTGGATTTGATCATGTGATACACATAACTAACAGTCCGTTAATGATAGGTACTGGATTAGCAAGTTTTGAAAGTTTGGATACTGAATTGTTGCGTTTTAAAGTTCCATGAATATATATATATATATACCCAAATGCATCAAATTTTAGTGCAGGTTGGTCTCAGATTTGATAGTTTGGGCTAGACCTTGGGCTTGGACTTCAGGCCCAATTCTTAGGGTTGGGCTTGAGTTGTGTTAAAAGCCTCCCTAGCCTACCTAACTTGCATTCTTAGACATGCTGAACTGCAATGTGCATAAATTTTGAACCCAACATAAATGAGATGTGTGGTGTAAGATCATGTTAGGAAGGGTGTTGGGATTGTTGGTATGAGATCTAGACTTGTGCCAATTGGGTTGACTCAATTGGTAAGGTGTCTGAAATGTTTTAAAAACTAACTTGGAGGCCAAATTGTTTTTGCCTTTGGGTCATGGGTCACTTGTTTGATCGCTTGGGCCGAACAACTCAAACTATGTCATGTCAGCATATATGTATGAATATGTATTTTATTAATAAAATAATTTATAATTATAATCTACATATAATATATGTATTATTTTATGTTTAATTAAAATTTATATTTCAGTTTTTAATTTTTATTTATAAATACAAATGTTAAAAATTGGGATTTGAGGCAAAAAAAGAGGGGCAAGGCACCTTCGGCTCCTTGGGGAATGCATAGATCTCAAAAAATTACCCCAAAACAATATAAGGATCACCCACTCAAATAATTGAGCACAAAATTATGGCCTATAGAAGTTTTAGTGTGTGATCCAACTCGATGATTAGGTTAAATGGTTTTTGACCAAGTCATTGTTTTTTAGGTCAAAACCTAGAGTTGAAAAAAATAGTAGACCAAAAAAATGGGACCAGGTGATGGTTCGACCATCTAGGTGAACAATTGGTTGAAAACATTGTATCTGGCTGATTGTAGTGGAGACAGGATTAAATCCCGTGTTCACCATGGTTCAAATCAGTTTGAATCTCCTATCCACACTTACCCATAGGACACTATAGCCACACACTAGGAATATCTCTTGTTTACTTGTATATTGTCATTCATGGGACATATTCCTAAATGTGGTGTTGTGTGATAGGGCTTTTGTGGGGTAGGATATACAATCATAGTTTGGGTGAGAAGACTCAATATGGATAACGGATATGGGTGCAAGTTGGGCTGCAACACGAAATGTGGAACCCTCAAGCCTCAACCCTAACACTAACCCAACCCAAAGTTTTAGAGTTGGGTTGAGATGAGAATGGGTTTGGGTTGTCTCAATTCCTCTACTTCTTTTGGCTTCCTAAATTCAAGGTTTAAGGTGAATTCAGTTTTAAACAATATTATATTGTATTATATTGTAGATGGACATAGTTGTCATGCTTTTTAGGATAAGGCAATTTTCCCCATTTCCCTTATCCCTATGGGGTGTGGGGATCTGCCTCGATTGAGATGGTGATGGGGATGATTTTCCCCTCCAAGGACAGGGATAACACTCCTTACTAGGCAGGGATGGATTTTTGAAAACTCCATCCCCTACCCCGCCATTGTCATTCCTACATGCTTTTGAAAACTCCATCCCCGTAAATGTATGGTTCATGCATACATAAATACCTACCTACATACATGAATGGATGCATTGTTGCACATTTACATAAATGCCACATGCATACAGTAGATATGCAATTAAATACATGAATAAGTGTTAATATTTATACACGCACATTACCTGAACCCTAAGTAGGGTTCATACTTTTCAACCATAACCCTTAGCGGATTTTCAACTCAAATGATTGATTGTTATGTTAAAGCATTATGTGTCATGATTTTCTATCAAAACAATCAACCAAAGAAAAGTCAAGTTGAAATTGTTGGCCCGACGCTATTAACATAACAATGATCAAGTTGATGACGGCCGGGCTTCTTTTTCTCATTTAATTGTAAATGTAAAGATACATATGCGTCCATTTTCTCTTTACACAGGAGAAATTAATTAAGGTGGTGTGGCATTCGTTTTAATCTTCAACTACTTCACGTAAGCATTGCACAGAGACACATTCAACTTTTAAGGTTCAAACAACTTATTTAGTAGAGTAGTTTTGAGGAGAGGTCCTTTTCGAGGCCAAAGCTTCAGTTTCAAAATGTCAATTGGTTTTTGCAGAATTTTATTGTTTTCATATGAGGCTCTCTGAAACTTAGAGGATGCTACTTAAAAGCTAGGATCAATCTGAATTTGTCGCACCAAACCTTAGCTTTTAGGTTAATTCGTGGTTGAGGTTCTTTATAGTTTATATAGGCCCATTTAGGGGGACTTCAGCTTGATTGAACTCTGTTGATTGAGTCACTTCCCATATATAATAAATTCACCAGAAAGTCAAATTCTCAGCTATAATGTAAGGCTATCTTGGCTTTCTTGGTTTTTCACCAAACACGGTTTCATGACTTTCTATGGCAGACCTACCTTGCTAGAAAACTGCTACATGAAAGCCCCTTTCAAACTGTCACTAATTTTATATACAGACCGGATTATACAAACCATCGGCTTTCCCACGCCAATTCCAAACCAACTTGAATTGCTCGGTTATATATTTATTTTCTACGCTTCCTTTCCCACCAACTCCTTATTCTTTCATTCATGGGTGCCCCCTCTTTAATTAGCTTTGTTTGACCTTAATTTCATCACAATGGGAGGAGATCCATGGTGTCATTGAGGCAACATGCATGATGGACTTTTCCATGTTTAGGAAAAATAAAAAGAATTAATGTTTTTGACATTTAAGAGTTCTGATCAAGTAGGAATATATAATCCTCCATGTGATCATCCATATGTACTTAATTACATTACATGGACAACGTCCCACCCTAGATAATCTAGTGTTTGACCATGCCTGCCAATTAGGTTTCTTGTGTTCATTAACAACAATTAGATAGACATTCACATACATGCATACCCAAAAGGAAAAAAAATAAAATAAAATAAAAGAAAATGAAATTAATTAAACATATGAATATCAAGAACTTCTCTATCTTCATTTGCACTTCCTCTTATAATCGCATGCATCTTTGCCTAAACATTAATGAGGGTGCCTTTCTGCTTATAACATTTCCTACTCAACTTCATTATTCCCTTACCCTGCATAAGGGAGTTTTTCTCTGAAACCAGGAATATGCAGATTTTGGCAGGTTTAGATTTCTCCTGGCTGTTGCTGTCTTGGTTATTAGCTCTTGCAGTTCTAGTTCATGGGCAGCTACAATCAGGTAAGCTTTTCTGGTTTTTAACTTCTCTAATACAATAACTCTTATTTGCGATTTGTTCTTTTCTATTATTGGTTGTTGTTAAGGCTACGTTCATTTCCATGTCTAAGGGGCGAGAAGCAAAGTTAGTAATTTTTTTGGCCTATTTTAAGGTGGAACAAACGGAACCTAAGTTGAAACCAATTGAGGCAACTTTGGAAGTAATTAATTATGCATTTATGATTTATGCCAGAAAGAAAATTCAAATACCTTATTTAGTTCTGAGAATACATGGGGCTGTAACCTGTAAGTTGCCCTGTTTGGTTCATCATTGTCTGTTTGTCACCGTTTGGTTGAACTTTCTGAGACTGGAATTATTGAGCAATTTTCGACTGAATGGAGCCATTGAATCTAAAAAATAGATGATACCCATAAGAGCTATTCGGCATTCTTTCTTTCATCTCTCATGTCCCAGTGGATGCATACCATCTTCACTGCAGTAGCAATTAGCAAATCAAGTGGTTGCCTTTCTTTTTTTTTGGTGAAGAGTTTAGTAGTTATCCAAACAAACTATAATGCACTTTTATTTTCTTCTGTAGGCTTCATTAGCATTGATTGTGGGTCGCCCAAAGATCATAGCTTCACAGATGATGTTACTGGCATAAGTTACTCTTCGGATGACCAGTTCATCAGCACTGGAGTTAATGTGAACATTGATAACAGTTTCATGTATGACGGGATTCCACAGCCACTCTCAGATGTTAGAAGCTTTCCCCAGGGAAGCAGGAACTGTTACAATTTAACACTTTCAGGGACAATAGGTAGAAAGTTTCTGATCAGAGCCTTATTCTTGTATGGGAACTATGATAGAAAAAATCAGGTGCCTCAATTTGACCTCTATCTGGGAGTCAATCTTTGGTACTCGGTGAAGTTCAGCAATGCATCTCATTTCGTGTCCACAGAGATTATCAACCTTGCTGAATCTAGTTCTATATATGTTTGTCTAATAAACATTGGCCTTGGAACGCCTTTCATATCAGGATTAGAGCTAAGGCCACTGAATGCTTCAGTTTATAATACAGACAGTGGGTCTCTGCTGCTCTTTGAACGGCTTGACGTTGGAGTAATGACAGGAAACCAAAGTATCAGGTAAGTGTAAAGACCCTGTCAATGTTTATCTCATTCACAGCATTGGGCTTGTGCCTTGTGGCATTGTATATGTAAGTGTGGTACATTGATCCATAACATAGGGACAGAGACGATGTTTATGATCGCATATGGTCACCCTACACCTCGCCTAATTGGATCTCTTTGAACACTTCGTCAGTTGTGGATGGAAGCGGAGATGGCTATAGAGCACCGCCCATGGTTATGAAGACTGCAGTTAGGCCTGCAAATGGTAATGGTTCCTTGGAGTTGTACTGGAACCCGACCGACTCTACTCTGCAATATTACATCTTCATGTACTTCGCTGAACTGGAGAAGCTTCAGAGCAACCAATCAAGAAAACTCAGTATTTCCATCAATGGGTCCCCCTTGCTTGGATCTTTTGTTCCTCGTTACTTATACACGACTACCATCTCCAACTCCAGTTCCTTGTCCAGAAATGAACTTCGGGTTTCTATTTTCAAGACAACAGATTCAACCCTTCCACCCATCCTGAATGCAATTGAGGTTTATGTGGTCAAACAATTTCCAGAATCACCAACATACAGAGGAGATGGTATGTATTACCTGAAGTTTCTTGATCGATCTTCTTATGAAATGATAATAACATACATGAAGCCACCACTGTAAATGATTGGGCCCCATTTCTGCTCACAAGTGGAACACATTCACATCCCCAAAGAAGGACCACAAAATCAATGCCACATCTCAGCATAAACTCTATATATCAGTGGCTTTTATTGGAGCTTTCGGGATGGTCTCGCATGTAGTTAAGATTATTGAACTGGTTGAACATGGAACTTTCGGGGTCCTAGTTGGATCTGCCGAGGCATCCCAATTAGTCCATATTAAGCAACAATTTGAGCAGGAACATGGAGAAGAATGTATATATGCCAAATATGATGATGCAGAGAACTATGCTTTTATTTATTTATTTTTAAATTTGTTCAAAGTTTAAAGATATCCCTAATGTTCTAATATTGCTATTTCTCTCGCACGTCTCTTCATTGAAACAAGTTGATGCTATCATGAGCATCAGATGGACATACCGAGTAGACAAAAACTGGGTTGGAGATCCATGCGGGCCAAGGAATTACTCTTGGGAAGGTTTAAATTGCAGCTACAGTGGTTCAGATTCCCCTCGGATCATTGCCCTGTAAGAAAATCTTTATGCATATATTACCATGTAGATAATCTTTGTTTGTGGGATCATATCCTTTTCTGATTTACTTGCTGATATAAATATTGTTGTGAGCAGAAACCTGTCCTCGAGTGGTTTGACTGGAGAAATAATTGCTTCAATAGCCAGTCTTACATCAATCCAGTCCTTGTAAGTATAAACTTGTATAAAAATCCAGTAAGCATCAGTAAACCGGTAGCTTTCAAAAGCTACCACTATGTTTCTTCGTGTTTTGTAGTATTCATGGTACAACAGTAGTTCTACCCTACCCTAGATGAGTTTAAAAGACTGTTGCTGCTCGTTGGAATATGGCAGGGTTCTAGGCCTCTTATAGCCCATCAACCTGGTGTACCAATCTCATAGCTTCTGGAATACCAATGGCAAAATCTTTAAGTTTTCTTTTTTTAATCAAGGACTTTTGTTCTAATGGCTCAGGTCTTTTGTTTCAGGGATTTATCCAACAATAGCTTATCTGGACAAGTGCCTGATTTTCTGTCACAGCTGACATCCCTGAGGTTCCTGTATGTCATCAAACTTTGGTAACGTGATTTTAAATTTCATGATGAGTCAAGCTTTTAATAAAACTGGGTTGTGCTTTGCAGGAATTTAAAAGGCAACCAACTCACAGGATATGTGCCTGATATTCTTATAGAAAGATCTAATGATGGGTCACTCACATTGAGGTCTGCTTTGTAAAATATAGTCAGTTATATTATTAAATGCCATCACCAATATCATATGTTGGTCGTCTTAAACTTTGACTCCCATTTTCTGTTATAGTGTGGATAGCCATAATATTTGTGCCTCGGGTTCTTGCAAAAAGGGCAAAAATATTGTCATCCCGTTAGTCGCATCAGTAACATCAGCACTGGTCTTATTAATCATTCTGATTATCCTATGGAGACTGAAGAGTACAAGACAGCCAGGTATTATTATTTTTTTTTGTTTTTTGCAATGCTTATTTCAAATATCTGTACCTGGATACCTGCTTCTAGCCCTTGCCTGTAACATAGAAAAGAATCACAAAAATAAGTAGTGTATATCTGTGCCAAAGTTTTCTTCTTGTAGGAAAAAAGAGTTTTTTCATCCATGTGGACAGTTTAAAATGAATACTCTGTCTGCATCAGACACTTAAATATTTAATATAAATTTTGTTTTCCACAATTTATCCATGCTGTGTCTTTGTACTATGTTTGATTGTCTTTCTTATGTGACAAAATTTCGGGAATACTTGGTGATTGATAATTGATATTCTATCAAGTATCGAGAAACAGTTATTGATCCACTATTCAACATCCTTGCAATGGAGAAGGAAACATAGTGAGATAACTATACATGTATAATGTCAGGAGATATGTAAAAGGTTCATTCATAAAGGCCAATGGAAAGAGCAAGGAAAGGGAAGAAACTCAAGCCATCCATAGCAGTGTCGTTTCAAACCTCCTTTGGCCATTCCTTCTACATAATTACCAGTGATGAAAATTGAAGAAAAAAATGAAATAAGAAGTTAAACATATCAAACTTTATCTAGCTTGGTTGCAAAAGAAGCTATAGCAATCCTTCACTGATGCAATTTATACCATGTCAGCCATGTTCAAGGCTCCAAATCCTGATCCATCCCCCATCACTCCCTTTATCAATATTGGGAGTTGGTTTTAATATGTAGATTTATGTTTTTTATTAGTTCTTTTAGTTTGTCAGAAGTAAATGTATTTCTTGATGCGCTAGATACAATTTATCATGGTAAAAGTAATACATAGAGTTTGCAATAGTGTATTCTGATAATTATATCATCTTTTATGTAAACTTCAGCCATAGAGTCAGGTGTCCTCTCTAATAGGGAAGGAAGCTTCTTGGCATCTAAGAGTCAACAATTCACATATGCTGAGATTGTGAACATTACCAACAATTTCCAAAAGGCTATAGGAAAAGGAGGATTTGGAACTGTTTACCATGGCTACTTGAAAGATGGCTCTCAGGTTGCTGTCAAGATGCTTTCTCAATCATCATCTCAGGGGTCCAAGGAATTTCGTACAGAGGTAAGATATGCACATCCAACAGAGGTTCTCTGCACTATCGTAATGAGTTATCATGCAAGGAGACAACTTTTTCATCATTCTCTCTCTCTCTCTCTCTCTCTCTCTTTTTAATGTTATCCATCTTTTTAGAGAAATTAATCAAAATATAGTTAAGCCATGGTTTACTGATAAAAATTCTGGAGAGGTTTCATAAGGTGCACTTTGGTTTTTATTGCAGGCTGAACTTTTGATGAGAGTTCATCATAGGAATCTGGCCTCTTTTATTGGGTATTGTGATGAAGGTGGCAACATGGCACTCATTTATGAGTATATGGCTAAAGGCAACCTAAAGGAGTATCTATCAGGTATTAAAATATATAGTAGTCTCACATTATTTCGTTGCCAGCTTGCTCTATTAAGTGCTCAGATCAACTTAACTAAGCAAGCCTTAACCCAACTATTTGGTGTCTTCTGACAAGTCCTGCTGTCCTTTTCCACTTTGCCACTCCTTATCCCAAAGGGGTTTAACTTTACTACTGACTCTTGTCTGAGATTTGAGTCCTAAGTGCCAATGAAGGAAGAGCCGTCTCAGATTGGTATATGGCACAAATACCTTTTCATCAAATCCTTTAAACACAAATGCTAATTTTGTGTTATCGGAATAAATTGTATAATCAAATTTAGGTGGGAGACTACAATGAACCACTTTAGTTTCTTATAGCCCCTAAAATAGGATTTAAAAATATTGAGAGAGAGAGAGAGAGAGAGAGAGGGAGAGAAAGATATATCCCTTTTGTAAGAGGTTTTATAAGTTCTGTATTACACTGTTATGGTTGCAGATACAAACGCAAATGTTTTAAGCTGGGAGAGGAGACTTCAGATAGCAATAGATGCAGCACAGGGTTGGTATAGTGATGTCATTTGATTCTGTCACCTTAACTTTCTTTTGAACCCAATTGAATTGATGGCTTGATGGGATTTTGAATTGCAGGACTGGAGTATCTACATAGTGGTTGCAAACCACCTATCATTCACAGAGATGTGAAGACAGCTAATATTCTGTTAAGTGAAGCATTGGAGGCTAAAATAGCGGATTTTGGACTGTCCAAGGTTTTCCCCAATGATGGTTTCAGTCATGTGTTGACTCAAGTAATGGGTACACCAGGGTATCTCGATCCAGAGTACGTTTTTGTTGTTTCGATTAATACAACTATGCCATCTCTATGTTTTTCATTTTTCACTATACTACTAATATTGTTGTACAAGTATTACTGAACTCTTACTAATATGAACCTGTAAAATGAGAAAATCTGATTCCATTACACTTATTTTTTTAATTTCATTTTCTAACATTTTTTGTGCAGGTACTATGTTTCGAGTAAGTTGAATGAGAAAAGTGATGTTTTTAGCTTCGGGATTGTTCTATTAGAGCTTATCACAGGACAACCACCCATAATTAAAAGCTCCGAGTCTGTTCACATAATTCAATGGGTTGGTAATATGCTTGAGAGAGGGGAAATAAGAAATATTGTTGACCCAAGGTTGCAGGGAGATTTTGACATTAATTCCATCTGGAAGGCTACAGAGATTGCAATTGCATGCACACCATCTACATCCATCAGAAGACCTACAATGAATTATGTTTTGACAGAATTAAAAGATTGTTTAGCAATAGAGGCAGCTCGTGACAGATCATCCGTCTTAAAAGAGGATCATGGAATAACATTGGTTAATTCAACTGAAATGTTTCTTGTGGATCATGGAAGCATAACAGGCCCCGTACCAAGGTAGCAAGGCTTCCTTAATAGTGGTTTTGCAAGTAACCTGAAACTTCTTGGTGAAAGTTAAAAGAAACAACATCTTCATTTCTGTTAGAAAGGTGTGCAGAACATCCTTCCAGAAGGTTATCAAACAGTTTTATGTATTACACGATTCTGATCTTTCGTCTTGATAGATAGGTTTTCTGTTAGATGACGATTGAATTGTTTTTACGTAGAATTGTTTTATCAATTTATCCGCTTTTTCATTAAGCGCATTGCCCCTAAAACATGGCATACTGCAGCACATCTGTGAGTTTTAGTTACAGATGACATACAGGGTTTTATTTTTTTATTGTATCAGTTTTATCTTGTTTTTTGCTTTAATTTCTTACAAAAAAAATTCATGAAAGGCAAATGAATTTGCTAATTACTATCATCAAAGTGAAGATCGCTTGTATATATTGGTATTCTTTCTTACACATAAATCTAAAAGAAAATCCCAATATACCGTGTATGCCGATGAAATCTTTCTATGTTTGCAAGACTTCTTTTCTTCAATTTGCTTTTATTTCTTATACAGAAAATGGTGGTTTTTTTTTTTTTTGATACGCAAAGAAATTCATTAAACTAAACAAGAGGAGAAACAGAATAGATCTCAAGAAAGGTTAGCCAGAGTCAGATCTTGCAAGGGACTGAATCCAATCTGGGCAGTCGAAAATAAACAGACCCTGATCTGGAAACCTCTCTGAGCTACAGTATGAGCACAGCTATTACAACTTCTGTTCACAAAAGAAAAGGAAGCAGAAATAGACTCAGACACACTCAAAATATCTTTTAGAAGGGATTTCAAGGTTGTTGGAACCTCAGGGAGACCTTTCTGAATGACATTCACAAGTTCTGACAGTTAGTCTCAAGCACACAAAAGGAGAGGCCAGCCATCTTTGCCAAGTCTAAGCCTTGCCTAACTGCAATAGCTTCAGCTGAAGCCACAAAAACAGGTCCATAGCAGGCCGCCACACAAGCACCATTGTGATCTCTGATAACAGCACCAAAACTTCCTGAATTAGGATGTTTGAAACCTCCATCCACATTTATCTTAAAAACACTTGCACAGGGGGCACCCAAAAAGTGTTGCGACTCCGGGTTGTCTCAGATACACTCGTACCTTCAGAGAAGCTCTTCGAAATCTCTATCATGAACAGCAATTGCCTGCAGACATCCAAAAGAGTAAAATTCGCATTGAAACTTTCATTTTCAAAAATAACTTTGTTTCTTGCTTTCCAAATGAACAAGAGCAAGTAGGCTGTGCTTTGGATAAGGAAGACTGAGTTTTCTTTTAAATCTTTACAGGATTGGATCCATCCAACAAGCCAGTCATTGAAGTTTATATTTTGAGGATAAACCTCCATTCTTGCGTTGAAACAACTCCTAAACCACACCTTCCTTGTCACCTCACAGGAACACAGAAAAGGTCGAAAAGCTGATGAAAAGAAGCATTCTCATTTGAGCAATATCCAGGGAAGTGACTGGGTTTACAACATAGAAGTTCATAAATCAGGGGAAAAGGTTGATAGGAAAAGCCGAGCTGGTGCTTATGGTTCCGATTCTAAGGAAAATGAGAAGAACTGCAATTGTTTCAATGTCATAGGGGTGAGGATGAGACCTACACAAATGGAAAAATATTAGGTTGCAGTTCTTTCTTTTTCTAATAAATAATCTTCTTTTTCCTTCAAAAAATTGTATTGATCTTATTAAAGGAACACCTCTTTATATACTATTTTTTCTTTATTCTATATTGTTTCTATTACGAAGAATAAAAAACCGGGATTGCCAATGTAATTGCTATTAATTTTCTTCATTTTTTACTCTCAATTATTCAGTATTATCCACCCGTGCTTAGCACGGGCGCCCCTCGCTAGTTCATTATTAAAAAGAGCATTTTTGTCCCATTGAAGTGTTAGCAACTCCCCCTTATGTGGGAAAGTTATTTACCCATCTAAGAGATGGGTATCACTTAAGGAAAGTGATACCCAAGAAAACAAACTTTCCCCGGTCCCCACATAAAGGCTTAGTTTGGAAAGAGTACAAATACAAATATGTACGGTACAAATACATACAAAATACAAGGTTTTGCACTCTACATATTTGTACTCCTTCCAAACTGAGCCAAAGTTGAAAAAAGAACATAGGATTCTTGGTCAATGGGAACCATAATCCCATTGACCAACTTCCCCCCTCTCAAAATCCAAAAAAAGAAAGGAGAAGTACGATCAGCCTAGCTCAAAATTTACTAGGCACAAAGTATAGGGGAAATGCATTCTGACTATGAATTGATGCCAAATTCACGGGCAGGATGTGGTTTATAGAGGGGAGAGGGTTACTTGTAGGGGGGGCTGGAATTCAGAATTCTGCATCTTGTGTATCCTTACTTTTCCCAAAAAAGAATACCCTTAGTTGCTTTGTTTTTTTATGGGTAATTGGATCAAGTGTTTTCTAGTAGCGTTGAAGCTCGCTAGGGTATGCAACTTTTAACTATTTCAACAAGTTAATTATTCCTTTCTCCAACAATACCTTATCTCCCTGGTAAATCTTCTTATACATGGATTATGTTGTTGTCCTGCTAGTTTCTGGCATGGTAGACCTTAGCGAAGGTTCCATGGTCCAGCAATTGACCCAGCTCTTTGGTCTCCTTTGTTCTTGTCCACCATTGAAGTGATTCAAAATCCTTCACAGAAAAAAAAAAATAAAAAAAACTTCTCTTTTTGGATCTAATTAATCGCCTGAGAATGCGAAGAGCAGGAGGCGGAGGAGGGGGAGGCCGGAGATAGAAGCCTTTGATGATCTTCTTGGCAGGACCTCACAAACCAGTGCAGTGAGTTGGAGCTCCTCTCATCTTTCTGCATTTCCTGGGAAACCAGAATTGAGGAAATCCTATATTTGGGTGAATAAAGGCATTTTAATCAATAAAATGTGCTTGGTTGATTGATCATTTAGGGGCAATTTGATTATAAAAATTGTATTTATGCTGATGCGGACGATTCTACAATAAACTATAACAGTTATAAGAAAATATGTTATAAGAAAAGTTAGGATGAATTTAAAAAAAAGGTTAGGAGAGAAGACATATGTTATAAGAAATTTGACGGGCGACAGGAATTCCTGTCAGTGACATCTGTCGCCTGTCAAATTTCTTGAATGGATGTATTCGAATTGAATGAAATGAAGATCGACCGAGAGATCCCTATTTGGACAACTAAGCATGTGTGCAACTCGCACATGTACCGGCCTATCTCATGTAGATCGAGCATCGGAAAGATGAGAAACTTCATTTGAAGTTTCTTAGAAAAAGACAGATTTTTGGCTTTCAAAACCGAATCCATTGGAAACATCTAGTAGACCATTTTTTGTCTTTTTGTCTCTCCATAGACTTAACTATGGTTTTCGATCAGCTGTTGGCCTGGACGGTCGGGAATCATCTAGGCAACATTTTCTGTTTACTTTAAACCCGGTCTTTGGCTAAAAGCTGTTGAAATGATCCTAGGTGGTCGAACTGTTAATCTGTTCGATTGTTTAGTGGTTTTTGGTTATTTTTATTTTTATTTATTTTTTGTTAGAATAGGCCATTTGTTTGAACTGGATGGTTGAACTGTTAACCTAAAAACCAGTGGCTAGAACGGTTTTAATTCTAGTTCTAGGTCGTTTTTTAAAACATTGGACTGGACAAATGATGCTAAATTCCTGAAAATGGTCTCTCTTAATGACAAATGTTTGAACGATCTTTCAAAGTTTTAAAAAAAGTTAGAGAGAATTTAAAAGAAACGAGAGAAAGTGGAATTGGGATCTACTCCTCACATAGCACACCTCAAATCTCACAGAAACATCAACCCATGTATTGAAAACATCTCCCATAAAAAATAACACATAAATATGTGAGATGTTCTTTGATGTGCATGATTATTGTGAAGTGCACTGAAAGGATGGCAATTTTCTCCATCTCCAACGGGACCCGAAGGTCGGGATGGGAATTGTTTTGGTATAGGAACGGATATTAATAAGAATCTTCCATCAAGATTAAGATCAAGATCCCACGAGAAAACCATCCTCGTTGGAGATCAGATGGGGATCAGATCCGTTCTTGGAAAATTGAAGAACCTTATATGTACAACTCCAAACACTATGGAACCCACGAACATGTGAATGAACAAACACGGAACTACGACGTTGAACGAGAACCAATAGACTTGAAATCCGATGCTATTAAATAAAGTTCGTCTTATTAAAGAAAAATCCTACCATCCCACCACCAAGCACTCACTGACATGTGCTGCAGCTGACCTAGTCCACGCGCAAACCCGAGCAGGGTTAAAATCACCAATAGACTCGAAATTGCAATGGGAACAAAAGCAAAGTAGCCAAATTCTATTAAATAAAGTTCGTCTTATTAAAGAAAAATCCTACCTTCCCACCACCAAGCACTCACTAACATGTGCTGCAGCTGACCTAGTCCACGCGCAAACCCGAGCAGGGTTAAAATCTGGACGCTTTCGACTTTGAAAAGTAGTTTATGTTTTCTATAAAAATTGTGAGTTAAAACTATCAGTTATTTGGCTCCTTCGTTTATGTCTTACGTAGGGCTGCAAACGGTATTCGTTATCTGAACTGGAATTCGAATTCAATGGTGATGGAGGAGGATTTGGCCCGACCTCATGGCCATCAACACGTGGAAGCAACTGAGGGTGACTTCGCAGGAACGATAACTCGGCATGGCAGTGCGTTCAAGGTGTGAGCTCCGAGAAGAGGAGCCCCGAGCTCCCCCAAGAGGAACCCACGATCCAAGCTCCCTAAAAGGAGCCCGAACTTTCCCTTTGACCCCGAGCTTTGCGAGGAGCGCAAGGGCAACAACCCGAACTGACCCCCCCAGGGCAGTTCGGGCCACGCTCCTATCCGAACTCAAGACAACTCGCACACCACTCCGACACTTCGTCCCCAGGCCGTCGAACTGAACAACTGCATCTGACACCAAAGGAGTCCGTATCTTGAGGCGGCGCGCCTGACTGATTAAGGATCTGACACTTGACAGCCGCACTTCAACGGCCACCTGCCACCGCCACCTCAAGTTATAGAGACGGCTCCGACAAAGAGAGCAGGTCCAGATTTCCTGCCTGACAACCGTACCCACTAAATTTGGAGACTGCGCCCACGTCTCTCGCCAGGCGGCGTCATGCTTGCCAACCCTGAAGGATGTCTCTTGTCTGGCAGGGCCGTACTCTGCAACGATTACCTGCACCCACCAGCTCAGCTCTGACAAATAACGGCTGCAGTAGAGAATCAGAGACGGTTGTACCTGATCTGTCAGGATACCAGTATATAAGGACTTCGACCCCCAAGGGAAAAGGTATTGCGTGATCTTCACTCTAAGCTCTTTGATTGCTCTGCAACTCTTTATCTCCTAGCTACTAACTTAGCCATCGGAGTGTTCCCGCCGGGTGAGCCCCCTGGGTTCCTTCATCTTCTTCCTCGTAGGTGTCTCTTGTCCGTCGCCAGGTAGGAGCGCAACCACTTCCATGTAGGAGTGACCAGGTCGTGCACCATCAATTCGAATGTTAAATTTTCATGGTTTTAACTTTTTTAACAAGTAATTTCCAATTTATTTTATTCATAAAATATAATATTAAGTCACTTTTAGTTTATATTATTATGTAATATTTTGATCATTTTAGTCTAACTTATTTATATTATTTAATATTCGATTATAATGTGCATTGGATTTGAATTCAGTAGATATCCAATGGATATGATTCGATTTGATCCATTTACAGCCCTGAGTTAAGTTATGCACTAACGAATGATGAAAAAAAAAAAGGAAATTAGGGAGTGGTTTTGAAATGTGAGAGTGACCATGTATCCACTCATACTCTCACATTTAGCATAAAAGGATAGGTTTAGGATCTTTCAGAGATTCTAAACTAAGCTTCCATCATCTCTGCGGACTCATTGTCCTGTTGTCTTTTGAAGAAAAGAGGGCCGGCCGGGGTGACTGACAGAATGGAGGTGTGGTTAGGTTTCTTCTTGTTGTTGGTGCGTTGCTTAGCAATAGCAGTTCGGGCTCATGCGAAAAACCAATTAGATATATTCGTTTTATCGTTTATGCTTAATTTCTGATTAAAATATATAGTACTAGTGCCCCTTTATTGGGAGGACTGAACTGGCCAGCCTCAGGAACGCTTTAAAGCAGTTGAATCAGGTTAGTTTGAATTTCAGTTCAGCCTTCCCGAAGCCGAACTGACCCCTAGCTCAATGCTAAGCTGTGGCCTGTGGGTTGGTACTCGGCCACTCGTTACGAATTCTGCTGGTTCTTTTGTTTTCTCATTCACGCTCTTGGTTGCTT